CCAATGGTGGAAACTGCTGATGCAGTTACACGTTGGAAAAGCAGGTGGTTCACGCTCGACCCAAGATACAAGAGGCCAAGGTATGAAATACAAGCACTTTCTTGTTTAAGTACTTTCTGTTTACTAATTACACACACTGAGTCTGTTTTGTCATAAATATGATTATTATCTTGAAATGATCTTTTGATATCATTTTGAGGCTACATCGCCCACGTCCACCCCCAATCACCTGTGCAGTACTCTCAATAAAAATCCTTCCATTAAAACCAATTATTACCTATTTGAGGAAGCAAATTGTTTTAGATTTCTGATCAGCTGATCAACACTTCCCTGAGTCCACGTAGCTCCTAGAGAGGAATTCTGATAGAAGATAAGATTAAACTTAAATCTCATTAATGAGAGACAGACTTAAGTGTTTTTAAAGGGGTCGTTCAGGGAGAATTTTCACATTAAATGGGAACTAAAAAATGCTTTGGTTCTCTTCTTCTTCATTTGTGAAACACCGTGGACGTATTCGACGTATATGCTGCCTCGGTGAATAAACTTCACAATAATATATTTTCTTGAAATGCTGTAAATTGGTTTGCAAACATCTTCAAACACATATATTCATTCTGGCTGTTTCATTTGCTTGTGTATCAGGTGTTTCCAATGCAGATATTGCAATAAAGAAACATTTTTACACTACAATGAACTCTTTGTCTGACAAAGTGTTCAAGAGTGAAAACACTTCTGTGAGATTCTTACATTGCATCCATTCAATATAAGTGCATAGCTGCTAATTACGTAGGTGTAAGTTTTACATACCCTGCAGAACTTTCAGACAGTATGGATGATAACACAAACCTTTTCTTTCACTCGTTGTTGGCTGACGCCATTTATTGTCAAACTGTGGTTACTCTTTTTTTTAACACAACACAAACTACCCAAATGACCCAGATCAAACGTTTACATACCCTGGTGACTTGCACACAACTTGACACAGAAAGGTTAGAAAGGCTATGAAATGTCACCATCG